TTGTCGTCTTATTTTTAGTTAGTTAGTTAGTTAGTTAGTTAGTTAGTTAGTTAGTTTGTTTGTTTGTTGATTGATTGATTGACTGACTGACTGACTGACTGACTGACTGATTGATTGATTGATTGATTGATTCCATGCCGTATGACATGACAGCAGTCTGCATAGAGAGGGAGAGAGGGAGTTGATTGATTGATAGCCCCAGCTGTCCTGGAACTCACTATGTAGACCAGGCTGGCCTTGGGCTCACAGAGATCTGCCTGCCTCTGCCTCCCAAGTGCTGGGACTAAAGGTGTGCCCCACCATGACCAGCTGTGTCCTGTCTTGTTTTAAAGGGACATTAAAAGGCAAAGTACTGTGAGAAAGTGAGCTAAGTCCAGAAAGTGATTGCATAGATCTTTACTCTTTCAGCAAATACGTCCCTTGGTCCTCCCTCCGTCTGCCCTCCCTCTCTCCCATTATCCCCTTTTCCCCAAGCCGTCCCCTTGCACTCTGATTTCTCCATATCCCTCTTTCCTCATCAACTGAGTGGTTAAAAGAGGCAGATGTTCTTTTAAAGATGTGTAATGTCAAGAAGGAAAGATGATGGGACAATGGGAGGGCAGGTGGCATGGTGCTATTTTTAAAATGTTTTGACTGTTGGGGCTGGAGAGATGGTTCAGCAGTTAAGAACACTGACTGTTCTTAGAGAAGAACCAGTTCAAATCCCAGCACCCACATGGCAGCTAACAACTGTCCGTAACTCCAGTTCCAGGGGATCCGACAGCCTCGTCTGTCCTCCACAGGCATTGCACGACACAGGTGCACTTACCTACATGCAGGCAATGCATGCATACACATAAAATAAAAATAATAAATAAAATATTAAAAAAATGTTTTGACTGAGAATCTCAAATTTTCACTGCTGTTTAAAATGAAATAAATTTAAGAGTCTCCCAAAATCTGCATTGATTTCAAGCTACACATTTTACTTAATGTGGGGGATTTCTTAGACTACATAATGCCCAAGCATTCTACAGTAAAATGAAATGAATTTCAGAGACCCCATTACTGTTGTAGCCTAAACCCTAATTCTACAGTCCTCCTAAAATGACACCAGTGTAATAAGGACCATGCTCACTCCAGAAACATCGACTTTTAGGAGCAAGTAAGCCCAAACTTAGTGAGTCCCAAGTCAACAGTAGTAGAATGCTAGCTGCCTCAAAACCCAAGTACCTTCCAGGCTGCAGATGCCAGAAGCCATATGCCAGCAGCAGTGGACAAATTACTTATTGCATATTGACTTATACTTAGTATTCTGAGGTCTTATTTTTATTCTCTGCAATATGGAATCTTCCATATTGGAAGATTCTTCAATGGTACACTGATGAACATTTAAAAATTTTAAGATATGAGGTTGGAACGCTGACTCAATAGTTGAGAGCACTTGCTGCTCTTCTAGAGGACCTGAGTTTGGTTCCCAGAACCACATTGTCTGGCGGCTCCAGCTCCAGGGCATCCGATGCCCTCTTCTGGTCCTCTTGGGCACTGCACTCATATGTATAAACCCACAGACACACATATGCACATAAATAAAACTAAATTTTGTTTTCATTTAAGGTACATTTTGAGGCAATTGGAGTCATTTGGAATGGACTGGTGATATTATTGACTAAGACTGTTTTTTCTGAGTTGCAGTGAAAATGCTGTAGCTACACAGGTGACTGCTCTGCTGCATATGAAATGCACACTATGTGAATTTTTATGATAAAATATCAAATGTCTGCACCTTACTTTCTAATAGTTCATCAAAACAAACATACCCACAAGACGCTCACATGCACAGCAATAAAAACTGAGAAACAGCTAGACTAAGGGCTTACCTCCAGGAATGTTTGAAAACTGGTATCACTTCTGATGGCAGAGGTATAAGGGAAGGTGGCCAGAACACAGGGGATTGGTGAAAATTCTTTGTAGTGCCTTCCCACCCTGCTTTGTGCACCCAGACTCTTCAGATCAGGAGGTGTGCTTATTCTCCAGAGTAGGTAACAGAGCCTCTCGACTGGGATAATTAGGGCCCCTATTATAAGTCTTTATGCTAAGTGTCAGGGTATTTATTGCAAACACAATTTTCTTTTTCTTTTCTTATTTATTTACTTATTTTGTTTTTTGTTTGGGGTGGTTTTTTTGTTTTTGTTTTTTGGGGTTTTTTGGGGGGGGTTAATTTTGAGGATGAGCCTATGTTGAACAGGCTGGCCTCCAATTTGCTATTTAGCCTAGACTGGCTTCAAATTCAGGACACTCACGGTTTTACCTCCCAAGTGTGGGCTTATAAGAATGTACCAGCACATCCCACCAACACAACTATTAGTTATGTATATACTAAATGTTAAGCATTCCTGCCTTCTTTCCTACCTGGCCTCTGAGAGTCAACAACCAGGCTTTATCTCTACAGAAGAGACTGGAAAAGAGCTGTTTAATCTCACCAGCCCATGAGGGAGCCCTAAAGATATGCTATTGGGGCAGTCAGCAACAACATAGCCCAGCCAAATTCCCTTAGTTGTAGGTTTGGGCAAGTATTGCCTTTAGACCAACAAACTCCATCCACATGCCAAAAAGGAGCACAGAGTTTCTAGCATGAAAGCCAGAGAACAACCTGCAACAGGGGCTACACCGGGAGCGGAAAACTGAGTTTGAAAAAATCAAAACTAGCCAGGCATGGTAGTGCACACCTTTAATCCCAGTTCTTAGACAGAGGCAGGCAGATCTCTGTGAGATCCAGGCTAGCCTTGTCCACATAGTGAGCTCCAGGCTATCCAGGGCTACATAGTAAAACCCTGTCTCTCAAAAAATTTTAAACTACCACTAATATACTCAGATGAAATTCAGAAACCACAAAACACGAACAGAATGCTGTCTAAAGATTAACACTGGCAGTTGGGGGTGGATAGCTTTTGGAAATTAAAAATTGGAAAGAAGAAATGAAAAAAAACCTGATTGGGTTAGAAAAATAAGATAAAAGATAAATAAGAAAATGAAGAGATGGTCTAACAGATCTTACATCTGAAGAACAAATTCTAGAAAGAGAACAGATTTAATCTGTGTACACTGCATATATACTTGGCAATATCAAACTGAACTCTTAGTAAATACAATTAATGCATGTTAATAAGAAGTGTTTAGAGGAGGAGTCATGACCAAAATAACTCAAGGACACTTCCTGGAGCGGAAGGGCACACACTACAAGGGCTCTTCAAGTACCCAGAATGTTAGATGAACAGGAACTACCAAAGGCTATTGCCATGAAATTTCAGAATACTGGGAACAAGGAGGAAAATCCTATAAACTTCCAGATAAGAAAAACAAGAGTCAAAGTCTCAAAAAGCTACAGGAAGGATGCTCCATGAAAGCAGAGTAAATCAGGAAAAAGAAAGACATGGGATACAGGAAACAGGAAAAAGCCCCCACAGAGGGAGAAGCTGCCTCCCAGGATGATGGTGAAGGGTGGCTGGGAGAGCTGGGCACCAGGTACCCAGAGCAAATGGGTAGGTATGACATTTGGAGAACGTTCCAAATGAGCTGAGCTGATACGATGCCTCATGTCTGCCAGCACAGAAAGATGACTGAGATGGGGGGGGGGGATCGGGGATTGAAACAGAAATACACAAAATCGAAAATGCAAGGCAATTGCTAACACAGAGGAAACAAAAAGTGGTACAGGCAAGATGAAGCAAGCATTATTAGTCTTACTAATTCAAGGCTCAGCTATGAGCAGGACTGATATAACAATAGCCCAAGAAAACTGATCTAACCAAGGTTATCAGCATGGGAGGAAGGGGAAATGTGTAGGTGAGTAGTGGAGCACCAACAGGAGCCAAGTCTTCACCACCCTTAGAAAATCATTCTGTAATTCCTCAAGCTCACGTGTCATTTAATGCCTCAAGCAAGGTAAGGTGGTGCTTAGAAGTCTGAGACAATCCCAAAAAAGGTGCCAGAAGAAACCCCTTGGGGAGGGAATAATGAAGACCAGGGGAACAAAAGGTCACTATTTCAAGTGACTTTCGTTTGGTTGGTTTTTTGATGATAAATTTTTCTGTGTGTCTCTCTCTACGTGTGTGTGTGTGTGTGTGTGTGTGTGTGTGTGTGTGTGTACACAAAGTATACATATACTTTAAAATAGAAATTATATATCATTTTATTATAAATATTTGATAATGCCAGGTATGGGTGCAAGCCTTTGATCCCAGCACTTGGGAGGCAGAAGCAGGTAGATCTCAGTGAGTTCGAGGCCAGCCTGGTCTACATAGCAAGTTCCAGGCCAGCTAGGGCTACAGGAAGACCATGTCTCAAAAGACCAAAATAAATAAAGGAAAGAAGGAAGGAATGAGGGAGGGAAGGAGGGAGGGAGGGAGGGAGGGAGGTAGGGAGGTAGGGAGGGAGGAAGGAAAGAAAATACATAACTTTTTTTGAAGCTTTTACAATTTTATTTAGAATTTTAAAGAAAAATCCTCAGGGCAGGCGAACTGGCAATCTTGGCAGTGGCCTTGAGGAGGAGAATGGTGGAGAAAAGAAAGAAAGCCATGAAGCCTTGAAGATTTAGAGCCTGCGTGGAGATCAGACACGTGGCTGACTGGCAGCCACATGGCTGGGAGAAGGAAGCTTTAGAGAAAAAGTGAAGAAATACAAGATGCTAGGGTATCCCAAAGCCTTAAAGAAAGCAAGTTTAGAAAAGGGATATGAAGAAGTAAAGAAGAAAATATATAACTTTTTAAACAACAAAAATATTATGAAACATTCTATTTACCAAGTTAATTATTCTTTATAAAACTATAGGTAAATTATAGAACCATCTTCTTAGATATTAACCATTATATTTGAAAAAATATAAAGATACCTGTTCTCATATTAAATTGCTAGCACATTTAGGCCCAAACGATAATATCCTTAGCAGATGCAATTGCTGATTCCTAGTACTTTTAACCAAATTCATTTCACACCACTGCTAGTGATAAAAAAGTACTCACCAGCTCTAGTGGACTGAGACGAGCACCAGAAATAGGCCTGGAGTCGGCTAACTCAAAACTGGACGCGTAGAGGCTAGCAGAGGAGATGGTGAGAGGATTAGTTTCTGATGAACTTCTGTGTTTCTAAAATATGTTAGTAAACTCTAGCTGAAAAACAAGTGAAAGCATTTAATGTATCACATTGAGGAAAAAAAGCAACGTCAGAATGTTCTAGTACTCCATACTGCCATTAACAAGTTTTCACTACTTTTAGAAAGATTAAAATTATTGAATAATGAAAATCAGGCATGGTGGCACATGCCTCTAATCCCAGCACTTAGGACAAGGAGGCAGGAGGAAATGAGTTCAGGGCTAGCCTGGGTTAAATAACAAGATCCCCCCTCTCAAAAGAATGACTTTTTTTTAAATAACAAAAACTAAAAGACCAGTGATAAAGCTCAGTTGGGAGAGTACTGGTCTAGCCTGCACAGAGCCCTGGGTCCAATCTCCAGCACTGCATAAAAGTAGGTGTTATGGCACACATCTATTATCTCAGTATTTGGGAGCCAGAGTCAGGAGGATCAGTAGTGTCAGATCATCCTTGCTACATAGCAAGTTGCAGGCCAGCTGGGTTACATGAGACCCGTCTCAAAAATAATAATAGGGGGACTCAGAGGGGTGGAAATAATGCAAAGACAATACTCATGTATTAAAATTTTCAAAAATTATAACAATAATGAAAAGAAGAAATGTAAATAGTAATTTTTAAAAACCTTTCTCTTGTAACTTATAAAGTTGGGGTGATAATTACTATTAACTGTTTCATTTCAAAGTGAGTTTCTTTTCCCCATATCCAGAATTATCTTTTGGAATCTTGAAAAAAAGTCAAACTTTAAAAAGAAAACTATCGCCGGGCATGGTGGCGCTTGCCTTTAATCCCAGCACTTGGGAGGTAGAGGCAGGCAGATCTCTGTGAGTTCAAGGCCAGCCTCGTTTACATAGTGAGTCCCAGGACAGCTGGGGCTACAGGGAGACCCTGCCTCCTCAAAAAAAGACAGAAAAAAAAACTATCTTGAAAATCAATTAATGTAATCTATCACACCAACAAACTAAAGAAGAAAATTCTATGATTATATCAATAAATACAGTAAAAGTATCTGAGAAAAAGTATCTATTCAGGATAAAAACCACCAGTAAACTCAGAATGGAGGGAAGTTCTTCAATTTGATAAAGATTATCTACAAATATCCTTCAGTTAACATTATGCTTTATGAGCGGTCCTGAAGCTTTCCCACTAAGTTCAAAGGAAAGCAGAGTCCCCCATTCACAAATTTTTTTCAACACCATACTGGAAGTCAGAGTTAATTCAGAAAGACCATAAAAGGAAATAAAAGGCAGAAATATTGCGAATAAGAAATAAATAGTATTGTTTTCAGAAGACATGATCATCTATGTAGAAAATCATACAGTACTGAATTTTTAAAAACCCTTCCTGAAGGAGTAAGTGATTATAGCAGTGTTGCTGGAAACAAGATTAATACAAAAGTCAGTTTCTTCCCTACATATCAGCAATGGGCAAGTAGAAATAGATGAAAATTCAGTACCATAACTGAAGTGCTTAGATACAAATCCAACAAAATATATGATCAATATGAGGAAAATGGTAAGACTCAATGAAAGAAATCAAGGAGGACTAATTAAACAGAGAAACATTCATTTTCCTGGATGATATTGTCAAGTTGTTAGTTGTTTCCAACTTAATCAATGCAACCTTAATAAAAATCTCAGCAAGTTATTTTTCAGTATCAATAAATTGATTCTGAACTCTATATGGAGAGGCAAAAGACCCAGAATAATTGACTCAATTCTGAAGGAGAGCAAATTCAGAAGACAGAAACTGCCTGACTTTAAAATGTATTATAAAACTACAGTAACAAGACAGCGTGATGATGGTGAAAGAATTAATGATCAAGAGAACAGAAGACAGAAACCAGAAATAGACTGCAAGTACACAGACAAATAATTACTGCCAAGAGAGCAAAGGCAATGTTCCCTGACTTATGTGGAGTTTGGACCAATAAACTTTTTTTTTTTAGGTCAAAAATGTACTTACTGTACCTAACATGCCTATGCCAGAGTTTAGCAAAGCAGCACACTACAGATTATGGGTTGTTTACCCTCGTGATCCTATGGCTAACTGGAAGCTATAGCTTACTGCTGCTGCTCAGCATCACAAGAGCATGTCCTATTGCACGTGGCTAGCCCAAGAGATTAAAATTCAAAGTGCAACTCCTGCTGGAATGAACAGCACTTCCACACCATCATGAAGTAAAACATTATAAAGTGAACGATTTTAAGTAAAGGACTTGCTGCAGTTCAGAAAGATAATCTTTTCAAAAGACACATACACACCCATCACAAAAACTAAGTCAACTTCAATTGCAAATCTAAATGTAAGACTCAAAGCTATAAAACATGCTAACATAGGAGGAAGTCTAGATAAACTTGAATGATGCAATGACTTTTTACATACAACATTAAAGTCATGCTACATGAAACAAAGAACTATCAGGATAAACTTCAGGAAAATTTTAAATGTCTGCGTTGTAAAAAACAGTCAAGAGAAAAAGAAATTTAAGTCTGGTAGGAAAAAAAATGTGAAAGATGTATAAGATAAAAGATTGTCATCCAAAATCCTCAAAAGAATTCTTAAATCTCAAGAATACAATTTAAAAACAACCCAATTTTAAAAAATGGGCCACAGACTTTAACAGACGTCTAACCAAAGAAGACACACAGATGGCAAACAAGCATATGAAAAGATGTCCTACCTCATAAGTCATTGGGGGGAAAATGCAAATCAACATAAGGTACCAGTACACACCTATTGAATAGTCAGAAATCCAAAACACTGATAATGTGATAATACCAAATCCTGGAGAGGGGATACAGCAGAACAGGAACATTTATTTAGTGCTGATGGAAATGCAAAATGGCATAGCCACTATTAAAGGCAGTTTGTGAGCTGCTTAAAAAACTAAAGATACTCTTACCATATGACTCAGTGGTGGAGTTCCTTGATAGTTACCCAAAGACACTGAAAACTTATGTCTGCCTAAAAACTTACACATGGAGGTCTATAGCATCAATGGCTAAATACTATGGATATGTAATTACCAGAACTTATAAGTAACTCATGTGTCCAACGGTGGTACAACAAGACAATGCCGTTTTACTAGGTGCTAAAAATAAATGAGCTATCAAGTCATGAAAAAAACCACTGAAGAAGCTAAATGCACATTCTGAAGTAAAAGATGCCAATTAGAAAGGGCTATGTATGCATGATTCCTACTATGTGACAACCTGTAAGAAGCAAGACTCTGGAGGTGGTTAAAAAAAAAATCAGTCATTGGCAGGGGCTAGGGGAGAGAGGGTAGGCAGGCAGAGAAGAATGATGGGAAGTGTAATCTGGTGGCCTGGCTTCTGGGAGTACGCTAAAGCCAAGTGCAGTACCTGAAAGAGGAAGGAGGCCTGTTTTCTGGGGTTCTTGATGAGGTAGGTCCAAAGAGTTTCCTTTGGTCTTCCCGAGGTGTAAAGGGTCTTTGGGTTCTAACTGTCCTCAATGCATTCCGTGCTTCACTTATGATTTCTGCACTGGTCTTCTGTTTGGACACTGAAGGTCGATGAAAGGGATCTAGTTTTTCTAACTTTTGATCATTTGAAGACAGCATCTTTCCTTTTAAAACAAAATGTTCTTCAGATACGCATCCTGCAAATATATGACACAATAAACACTAATTTAATCATTACTTTAGAAAAGAGTGTACCCATCCATATACTAAACTGTTCCTTGCTATAAGCTTGTAAAGAAACATAAAAGAGCTTGGGAGATGGCTCAGAGGATAAAGTGCTGGCTGCACCAGCATGAGGAACTGAGTTCAGATCTCCAGTACCCATGTAAAAATCTGGGCATTGGCAGCATGCACCTATAGCCCCAGTACTGGGGGACAGAGAGAGGCAGATCCTAGGAGCTCACAGGCCATCCAGTCTAGCCCAAACAGTGAGCTCCAGGTTCAGTGAGAGACCCTTTCTCAAAAAATAAGGTAGAGAAGGAACTCAAGAAGACATCACACATGCCTGCACAAATGTATGCACCCACCCACCCACATACATACATGCATACAACACACACACACACACACACACACACACACAATTTACTGTTTGAAAAAAATCCAAGTAGGTACAGAATGCCAATGGGTGCACAGCTATCAAAACTATGGGCTGCACTGTTGTACTACTATGCAATTGGGAGAAAGATGCCCAGGGAATATGGGGGCACAGGAATCTCGGGGCACCAGCTGCTGGGCGTGGCGCCGGTCTCCTGCGTGCACCTGGGGTGCGGCGGGTCCCGCACCGCGTCGCTGTGGGTCTCTGCTACTGGGGCTGGCCTGGTTGGGTTCCGTCCCAATTTCCACCGTGCACTCCCTCGAGATACGAAATCCACTGGCCGCTGGATCATGTGGGGATGTGTGAGGACGGTGAAAGCTGGATTTCCGTAAGTTGATGACAGAAGGATAGCGCCCCCTGGGGAGACTGGACCGTAGGCAGTAAGACACAGGACTCAGCTCAGTCAGTGGTACAGCCCCTTTATTCAGTGACTCAGCTCGGCTTGCTGGCAGTTCCAGAGCTGGAGGCCATGTTTCTGTGACGGCTACTTCAAAAGATGAGTCAGGAGGAGAGTAGGAAGGCACCCTGCTGATAAAAGGAGTCTCTGCATTGAACGCCGAGCCCGTGGGCTATCCGGACATGGAGAGACTGCTACTTTACACAACAGGGGTCCCCAACATCTCCTCCTTCTTTGATTTAAAAATGGAAAAGTGCCATCACCAGCCCTAAGGGCTAACTTATTTGTCTCGGGAGAATTTAAAGTCTGATAATTGACCATGGCCTGTTTTGCAGTGATTTTAGCAAATGGCAGTAACAGTCAGCAAAGAAATCTTAAAAACAGTGAGCAAGCATCAAAAAAAATAATAATAATACACAGTATTACGAGGGGGCAACAAGGGATAGGAGCCATGCAAAACAAGGGATTGCTAAGCCAACCTATTTGTCTGGTGGGTTGAAATCTTGAAAATGGGTTACAAAGTTTTTTGAGAATGTTAACATTGGTTTCAATAACATTTGATTCATTTCAAAGAAACAGCATTTTTTCTCAGTATCATATACCCTTCCCATATTTAGCAGTTATCAAGTCCAATGTTCTTCTGTTGTGGAGCACAATCCTGGCGAGAGAGTTTATTTGTTGTTTGAAAGATTCCAGGCTGTCAGCCAAAGATGCCATTGCTTGGCAGCCAGAGCAGGATCAGGTGCAGCTTGGATGGAGATTTCCCACCAGGTGCTGGGCTTGTAGTAGTTTGTCGCCATAGCAACGCCTCTAGCATCCAGTGTAAGTTTGATCTCTACCAGCAGGGGGAAGAAGATTTTTCTCTGCTGGCAGCTCCTGGGTAGAGAAGGGTGGTAACTGGTACTGCTGTAGTAGAAATCTATTGCTGGATGCACAAAAAAGGCAATTAGACACGGGTAGGTGGTGAAGGGAAGAAAGTTAGACTTGTTCCAGGACATAGTCGATCTTATTTGGTCCTCTGTCTTTCCTGTAGAATAATATTATGAGTTAGCACAGACTTAGCTACAGGTACAAGCTGTCGAGAGATATGAAAATCAGCTGTAGGGTGCCTAGAGAATGCACCTGAGTAGAACTTTTCTATTACTCCAATACACCAGTGATTGTCCCATGGATCTGATTTTTTCCTTGAAATGTTTTTCTGACATAAAATCTCTAGAACATGGTATTAGGGAGAGTGGGGGCTGGCTGAAGCATTGCTGTGAAACAGGGTAAAAACAGCCATGAGGATGACAGAGAAAGAAGCTCTGGGGGGGCATCTGCGGCTAGCAGTCTCCACCAGATCATGGATCTCTTTCCATGTGATCCGGTGTGGTTTCAGGTGTCATTTCCTCCTTTTCCTTTTCTTTGTCTCTGACAGGGTCATGCAAGCCATCTTCTTTGTGGGCGGGGAGGGGCCGGACATTTTTGGCTGGAAC